GTTAGTTTCTAGACTCTAGGATCTGTAGTCTCAGGCTTTTGATGTACTGGAACAAGAGGGTTAATGGGAGGGTTAATGGTAGGGTTAGTTTCTAGACTCCAGGATCTGTAGTCTCAGGCTTTTGATGTACTGGAACAAGAGGGTTAATGGTAGGGTTAATGGTAGGGTTAGTTTCTAGACTCCAGGATCTGTAGTCTCAGGCTTTTGATGTACTGGAACAAGAGGGTTAATGGTAGGGTTAATGGTAGGGTTAATGGTAGGGTTAATGGTAGGGTTAATGGTAGGGTTAATGGTAGGGTTAATGGTAGGGTTAATGGTAGGGTTAATGGTAGGGTTAATGGTAGGGTTAATGGTAGGGTTAATTTCTAGACTCCAGGATCTGTAGTCTCAGGCTTTTGATGTACTGGAACAAGAGGGTTAATGGTAGGGTTAATGGTAGGGTTAATGGTAGGGTTAATGGTAGGGTTAATGGTAGGGTTAATGTTAGGGTTAATGGTAGGGTTAATGGTAGGGTTAATGGTAGGGTTAATGTATGGGTTAATGGTAGGGGTTAATGGTAGGGTTAATGGTAGGGGTTAATGGTAGGGTTAATGGTAGGGTTAATGGTAGGGTTAATGGTAGGGTTAATGGTAGGGGTTAATGGTAGGTTTAATGGTAGGGTTAATGGTAGGGTTAATGGTAGGGTTAATGGCAGGGTTAATGGTAGGGTTAATGGGAGGGTTAATGTCAGGGTTAATGGTAGGGTTAATGGTAGGGTTAATGGTAGGGTTAATGGTAGGGGTTAATGGTAGGGTTAATGGTAGGGTTAATGGTAGGGTTAATGGTAGGGTTAATGTATGGGTTAATGGTAGGGTTAATGGTAGGGTTAATGGTAGGGGTTAATGGTAGGGTTAATGGTAGGGTTAATGGTAGGGTTAATGGTAGGGTTAATGGTAGGGGTTAATGGTAGGGTTAATGGGAGGGTTAATGGTAGGGTTAATGGTAGGGTTAATGGCAGGGTTAATGGTAGGGTTAATGGGAGGGTTAATGTCAGGGTTAATGGTAGGGTTAATGGTAGGGTTAATGGTAGGGTTAATGGTAGGGTTAATGGTAGGGTTGATTTCTGGAATACAGAATTTGTAGTCTGAGACTTGTAATGCACTAGAACAAGAGGGTTATCGTCGGGTTCACTTTAGGATGATTGTTAGAGTTGTTGTGAATGTGAGGACCACTGCCGACGCCAGGTTATTTAGCGCCCTAGGCAAAACTTATTAAAGCGCCCCTTTTCACACAAATTAATTACTAAAACATACGTTCAAGAAAAAAAAATAATTAAAAGTGACATATTAATTTATAAGTTATAAGTACACATCAAAATCAGATTTTACATGCCTCCTTCGTCTCAAAAGTTTGTACTAATTCCTTAAATTCCAGTAATCACATTCTATTGAAATTATTGCTAAGTCCACGAGTCTACTTTGTACTTTACGACATAGCCCCCCCCCCCCCCCCTCTTAGAAAAAAATCAAGTGCTCCTCCCCCTCCCGAGAGAAAAAAGTCTGGAAAAAAATCTGGGGAAAAAAACACAGTTCTTCTAGTAGTAGTCTCTCTGCAGCCCTCCCAAGGTGAGTTCCAGAACTGAACTTACCTGTTTTAGGTTTTGGCTGTCTTTAGTTATAATCGTAAAATGGTTATTGTGTGATTATGTAACGATTTTTTTTTGTTTTTGAAAAATAATTGATTATAAATGTTATAGGTTCCAGCCTACAATTGTTGTATATGAATCGTTTAGGAGAGGTTGAAAAAAATGAAAAAGACACTTAATTAATTATATGATTAACTTGCGACTAAGACGCATTTTAGACGCATTTGTTGCACTAACTCATAATGTAGGCTATGTCTACTATTGCAAGTATTGCAATCTACAAAGGCTACCGATGTATTTGTTTTTCAACATGATAATGCTAAAAAAAAAACAACCTACCAAACTATTTTTTTTAGAACTTCTGCTCAATACAATTTTTACAATAGCAAATAATAACCTAAGGTGCAGGAATTTGAAATGAATGTAAAGTTAATCAACGAATTATCTCCCATTCGGAAATACAAATACCAAATTTTATTCAAGGGAAATAATTTTCAAAAGCTTGGCTAAATTAACCAAGTGTAACTAAGACATGCTTGAAAAACACAATAAAACGCTTTAAATTACATGACGTAATATTTATAAAAAATACTTTTATATTAGCCATGTAACCTTGTCAAAACAATGTTTTACTCATTGACTACTTAACTGTAGGTTTTGTTTGAAAGTCTAAACCTGGTAGCTTTATTATAACATACTTCTAATAAACTTTGATGACATACATTTAATAATGATGCTTGTAGACACGACATACCTTAAAATTTTGGATCCCCTTAATAGAGGGACGTATTTTAAAAAAAAATCAAATACGGGTAACTTTTTAAGATATTGCTAAAGAAAGCCTATCTTTTTTTTTTGTATTGTGTCGCGACCTGAATTGAAATCATCAAACTCGACTACTCGATAGACTTTACTACATTCACAACACTTTTCAAACTTCGATACCTAAACATAACTAGACTCGATGCTCCAGAACTACGACACCAACTGGCTTAACTTCATCAAGCTCTTAAAACGATACTCCAAATCAACAACGATTTCACTGGACCTACTGCTACAAGTTAACATTTAACACACTCGATACCTTAATACCGAAAGGCTCGATACTCCCAGACCCCAGAACAACAATACTTCATCACCAACATTCTCATCTCTCTACTATCAATCAGATTCCACTAGACCTTCAACTACACGACCACAGCCAAATAAAAAAGAACCGATATTTCATACCTACGGAACCATATCAGCAAAAGCCTTCCACCGTTACTCCCAAATCTAAACGATCCATCAAAACTTACCAAACAAGTACAATACTTTGAACACCCCGTCATTACAAAACTCTATACACCAGACAAGATTTAGAATGCGAATTAAGAGAAAACGAGACTTACAAGCCCTATTAAAAGCCAAAATTGCTCGTGTTTTTGGAACGTCCCGTCATGCGCTGAAGCGATCACTAAATCAACATTAAAATTAGATAACCGTTTGAAATGTTCGAAATAAATTACGAATTTATCTAATCGTTTTCTACATCAGTTATGTGACACCAAAATAAAAAGTCAAAGTGACTGTTAAAAAGTGCTCCGACCTTTCCAAATTAAGGAGGTGGGAGTGCACTTTCACCAACGCGAACAAATATAGCCCTATATAGGCCTATATTTTGGGGTGGGTGCGCGAAAATGATAGTTCGTCCTGGGCGCCGAAATAGATCGCTACCCCTTTTCTATATTACCATCTATAGTTTAAAAAAGATAACCAAAGTTATTATTAGGTATTTTTTTTTATAACAGCGATTAAACTTTTTTGCGCCCCCCCCCCCCTAGGGATGGCGCCCTAGGCGACTGCCTAGTTCGTCTAATAAGTAGCGCCGACCCTAGTGAGGACGCCAGGATGTGTAGCCTCAGACTTGTGATGTACCGCATCAAGAGGGTTAACGTGTGTGGGGGTGAGTCAGATAAGACATCAAGAAGACAAATTGAGAAAAACAAAATATCAAAACCACTAAACCGCCACCCCAACAAGTTTTAATTAAAAGATACTTTCTCTTTTGTTGATTGCATTTTTTTTTAAAGTCTGAGCACGGGACACGCTGACCCAAACTATTTATTCCCAGGCTGTCCAGATATTCGAATACTGGCTAATGGACATACATCACTCGTCATGTAAGGGATAATGACTGTCCCATTATCTTGTAGATAATTCACGTCCGTCCCAGTGGCCTAACTAGGTGGTGCGTTTTCGCTGGGGGGTGGAGGAAAGGGGGTGTGGGGGGTGTGTTTGCCTGTAAAAATAAATAAATAAACGAAAACAATTGTTTGTGTCCCAACGGTGTCCCGCGTCCCTCACAAGATGTCAGAGGCGTAGCGATGGGGGGGGGGGGGGGCAGTGGGGACATATGTCCCCGGGCGCCGATCTTAGGGGGTGCCAAAATCCGTTGTAAAAAGAAATTAAAATGCCAATTTAGCTGCATTTTTGCAGTTTGAGGGGGGGGGGGGGTGCAAATCTAAACCTTTGAGGGGGGGGGGGGGGAGAGTGCGAATCGAAAAGTCTTTGGGGGGGGGGGGGAGGGGTGCAAATCAAAAAGTCTTTGGGGGGGGGGGGTGCAAATCGAAAAGTTGAGGGGGGTGCAATTTGAAAATTTGCTCCCGATGGGGGCGCCATATTGAAAGTTTGTCCCCGGGCGCCGGGAAGGGTCGCTACGCCTCTGCAAGATGTTGAGTTAAATATCAATACGGTCGACGGAGTTAGTTTAATTTTATTTTAACAACCATACTCTATGCTGGATCTTGATATTTTAACGCCATGAATGTCTTTCACAGAACACAAATTAAAAAAACAAAATGGTCGTTAAAAACTTGATATAAATTACAATTTAAGTTCAATGCTAGTCTGCGTTTTATCATCTTTTCCCGTTCGTGCTTAATACACACGGGGCAGATGAAGTAGAGTTGATTTGTTTAAATAACCTCGGCATGCAAGGTGATTGTGTGGTCATCACTAAACTCATCTGTCTTAGTATCTCTAACATGAGTCAGGTATCCATCACAGCCGGGTATCCGAACTCGAGGCTTACGGTCTAGCAGTTGTAAGCTCTTACACTCGACCACGCCGTCCCATTGTCTATGTTTGCTAAACAAATACATTTTTAAGTTGCTAGTCAAATTTATAAACGTTATTTTAATTTTATTTTGCTGCACCCCCTAGGTGAAGCTCTTGGTTTCGCGTGGATATTTAAGAAAAACCATCACGGCGTTTAAACGCGGTGTTTAAATACGGTGTTTAAACACCCCCCCCCCAGCTCACGCCGAGGAGATGATGTATCGTGTGTTCCTGATGACATAATCGATACACGATAAATCGTTTTTTAATTACTGACCTCGAAGCTCTCCTCGGAAGTGATGTCATAGACCAGCACGTAGGCCGTGGCGTTCCTCAGTCCGTAGCCCCGGAAGTCCGTCCATTCGTAGAGCGAGTTGACGGGGAAGTAGGGGATGTACGGGCAGTCGATGATTCGAACCTGGGGAGTCAGTGCAGATCAATTAATGAGGTGGGGGGGGGGGCGAAGGGTGGGGGTGGGGATATGACAGGGTAAAGGTGAAAGGTCAGCGAGGTGGGGTAGATGATGTAAAGGGGAGGGGTGTGATGGGATATAGGTTAAAGGTGAGAGGTAAAGGTCAGCGAGGTGGGGTAGATGATGTAAGGGGGAGGGGTGTGATGGGATATAGGTTAAAGGTGAGAGGTAAAGCCACCCATTTGAACCTGGCGGTTCATGTGATAGATGAAGTAGAGTTCGAATGTTTTCTAGTCAGCCGCCTGGTCTGCTGGGTAGTCTTAGAGACTCTAGTCCGAGATCCGAACTCGACACTTTCGGGTTACCAGCTGTTCGCTCTTTATAGTTATTTAAATAGTGTATACTTTAATGTCTACTTTTATAACATGAAAAACGTAATTAAAACGTTTTTTTAAGAATTTTTTTAAAATTTTAAACAAAAGAAACAGCTGCTACAGGGGGCAATATTACTAACACAATAACAGTGGCTTTATTTAAAAAAATAATATTATGAAATGAATTAAAGAAACATTGTTTTGTGTTACTAATATAGTAATATTAAATGTATTTGTTTATTAAAAGATTATGTCATTTAATGTATCCATATAAAATGATTTATTTCGATCTAAAAGTATAAAAAACCAAAATGTTTGAATATTAGTAATCTTGTGTTTTGTATTCTTTTGTCAACTACCGATTAAATAAAAGTTATCTCCCCTACAATTATGGAGATATTTCCCTTTTCTAAACATCGCCATTTATTTTCATTTAGTTGCTGGATGGCGAAAATGTGTGTGAAAGTTAATTAAATAAAAAAAAAAAACTTGTTTCAAACCTATATTGGAGATTTTGTGCACATAATGTAGAACACGAAGGGGCTATTCAGAGTTTGTTCCATGCATCTCTTCGGGGGGGGGGGGGGGGGGGGGGCGAAAAAAAGTCTAGCGCCCTCCCCGAACGAGATGGAATTTATATAGTACACTTATACTTTTACTAGTTTCCACCCCCCCTCCCCTCCACGGAAAATGTTGACCGCCCTAACCCCCGAAAATATCAAGTGCCCCCCCCCCCCCCACCCGGAGAAAAAATCTGGAAGAAACACTGGGGCTATTGAAGTAGAGTTCACGTGTTGATGTGACCTAAGCATATGAAGGGATGGTGTGTTCACCACTATACCCAGCCGCCTTTACTTTCCCATCAGAGCTGGGTGGACTTAGAGACAGACTTGAACCCGGATTCGAACTCAAAGACTTTGGGGTTAGCAGTCTAGCGCTCTACTTCTGGGCCATGTCGTACCAATAAAAAGAAGGGGGTGGTGTTAAATCATTTTGTTTTGTTGTGTTTTAATGGGTGCGGCGGTGATTACGTTTTACCAAATAGGCTTATCTTCTAGAAAATGCATAACATCTTTATCGAACATGACTAACAAAATAAGTTTCATAATTTTTTGAAGTAAATACATATTTTTTTGTATTGTGATACCTTTTAGATGTGAATTATTTTGTGCTAATGCGAATATAGAGTTTCTTCCAGGCATCCCAAGCTTTGCCAAAGTACCTCAAATAGCTGCTCATTCTTGCAACCAATTATGTGATGCTATATGATGTTAAGGCTAGAATAAGGTTCAGTAACTCAAATAGCTGCTTATTCTTGCAACCAATTATGTGATGCTATATTATATTACGGCTAAGATATGCCAAAGTACCTCAAATAGCTGCTCATTCTTGCAACCAATTATGTGATGCTATATGATGTTAAGGCTAGGATAAGGTTCAGTACCTCAAATAGCTGCTTATTCTTGCAACCAATTATGTGATGCTATATGATGATAAGGCTAAGCTATGCCTGAGTACCTCAAATAGCTGCTTATTCTTGCAACCAATTATGTGATGCTATATTATGATAAGGCTAAGCTATGCCTACCTCGTACAGGTGTTCGTTGATGATGACAGCAGGACAGAACACCTGCCGCTGCTCTGTTGGAACGTATTCCTCCATGAACTGCTGCAGGACGAACTGCCGAACTATGGAGGACTTGCCCACGCCCGGCGCTCCAAGTATGGCGAGACGAACTGTCTGCAAGAGGGAAAATGGTTTACCAATAGGGCTTGTAAGTCTCTTTGCTTCTCTTACTTAAAATTTGAAATCTCGTTAGCCAGGGTCAGGTGAATTCTCAAAGTATAATTATCAGTTTGTACGATTTTAAATAACTTAACAATAGCGTAATTTTTTTTACCGATTTAAGAAACATATTCACAATTGGTTGGTGACCTACTTACAAGCCCTATTGTAGCAACGGTGTCTTTAGAACTGAAATTGGTTTATAAGTTTGTAGCTGATTTGTTTTGGATTTAAGTAGGTTTACAATTTGTAGCAAGGTTACTAAGATGGGCGAAATTTGGCTTTACAATTTGTAGCTACATACAAAGATGGAACGTAAGTTAGTTTACAATTTGTAGTTACATTGTCTTAGATCGAAAGGAAGTTGATTTACATATTGTATTTTTTTTTTTTAGATAGAATTTCGATTACAATTTGTAGCTACATTTTTTTAGATAGAAGTTCAATTAGGGCCTACAATTTGTAGCTACATTACTAAGATGAAAGAAAGTTGATTTACAATTCGCAGCTACATTGTTCTAGGTATAATAGAAGTGGAATTAAAATTTGAAGCTGCATTACTAAGATGGAATGGAATATGGATTACGATTTGTAGAAAAAGTTAAAACAAACAAAAAGATAAATTAAAATTTATTTGGAAGAAAATAAAGAAAGGGGTAATCTAAGGGAAGAAAAACATATTTTAAAGATTTAAATAAAATATAAATTGAACAATTAATGGAAACTAAAGCACATGGAATATAAAAAAAATAATGAATTAAAATAGAACTTCAATTTTAATATTTCATGTATGTTGGAAGGTCAATTAATACTCAGGTTTTTAAGGATGCCAAAGACTCAGCAATATTGGATACCTAACATTAATTGCGGGAAATTACAGTGTTTTAAGACATTAAACTAAAGGCTTTTAAAAACATATCTTTAGATAACAGACAGTCAGAACGTATTGGGATGACGAAATAACTGATAACTTTAAGAGGATGTAAAACCGGAAGTGGAAATTTCTAGTACCTGGTAGTCGGAGTCCAAGGTCAAGTGACTGGTGGCTGCGGCCATGGGGACACGCGACACCGACACCAGGCAGCAGCGCGAGGGCGAGCCCGGGGAATGGCACGAGTCGCCGGGCTGGCGGTGGGGGTGGTTGCCCCCGCTCCCCGCCGTCTGCGTCCGGCGCCTGCGGTTCCCGGCGAGGTCCTCGGACGACGCGCTGCGGCTGAGACAAACCGGTCGGGATTTTCCGGGAACTCCCCCGTGGTGAACCCGGTTCAGCTCGTCCAAAGATTTACAAGACGAGGAATGGGAACGAGTCAATGAGCGGGTTTTCCCGAAGAAAACTTTCTTCTCCGATGACGAGCTACTAGAAGCGGCCGCGAGAGCTCGTTTTGACGCCTTCTCCGTTTCCTGAAACGCCGCGTGGACTTCCGCGCTGTGGATAGACAAATGCTGCTTGTACTTCGGCTCCGTGTTTGAATGCTCACTCGGCTGGAGGGTGAATATCTTTTGGTTGTCGGGAGACGGTGAGGGGTCTTCTTGAGGAACTCGTTGGTAGCTCGCTTTCTGCAGCTGGGAGTGGAGCCGTAGTTTTTCCGTTGTTTCGAATTTCGGGATCTGCCTCGGGGACGACGACGACGTCGGCAACGACAGGGAGAGTTTTCGAGATCTTTCCGAGGCTTCGGTCGTGCGGGGGAAGTTTAAAATCGGAAGCGACGATTTTTTAGTGTCTCTGTTACTGACGACCTTGACGTTGACCTCTAGGTGCTCGCCGGCGTACAGGCTCTTGTTCGCGCTGTCTTTAAAATGCTTTTCCGGCTTTCTCGACGACGTCAGATGACCCTCACCTTCGAGGTCCGAAAGTTTGCGGGTCGCGAAGGACGACTGGTGGCCTTGAAATTCGTACGGCGGAAGGTCAAGGACCTCTTTGATGTGTTTCTCCGCGTCGCCGCAGGCTGTGCTCTCGCTGTCGTCGATCGAGGTGGGCGGGGTCGCGGCTACGGGTGGATTCGTTCCTGCGCCGGGGGTCTCTGTGGCAAACGTGACCTTCCTGCGCTCAGTGACGCTCTGGGGCCCTCTGTTGTCCGCCTGTGGTATGGTCATTATACGGTCATTGTGTGGTCATTATATGGTCATTGTAAGGTCATGTCATGTGGTCATTCTTCTGCGTTAGAGTTGAGGTGTACTCTGATATCAATCACATGAATATCAGCAGAAGAGTTGTATCCCCTCTGGCTGGCGTTAAACCCTCCGCTAGCTAGTTCAAAAAGAGATAGTGACGTAGAACACATGTTCTCATGACGTAAATGTGGCCGTTTGTTTATGTAACCTAGACTACACGAGCTTGCTCCAATCAGACATTGTATCTTTTCAGTTCAGTCCATTAGAGATTCTGAAAAAAAAATCACAAAAATTTGATAACGGCACGAAGCTATCAAACCATCTAGCATTAAAAACAAGGTAATTAAAAAGTTTAGTGACAATTTTAGCGCAATTTCCTTATGTTATCTAAAAATAGCTCTGTCGTAGCGTAAATCAAGAGCAGGGTTAGTAAAACAATTGGTTAAAATACATGTTTTATTTACAATAGAGTTACATGACTAAAAACCATTGCGCGCCTAGCTACTGAACGTGATGACGCAGCCATTGAACGTGATGGCGCAGCTATTGAACGTGATGACGCGTGTGGTGTGGTTGGATAAACATGCCTACTAATTCGGTCCAAATTTTAATTAATTCAAAAAAAATCTTTGTTACCGAACGAAAGGATATTTTTGAAAACTTTCTTCGGCAATATTGTTCTAAATTATGGCAGGAATCGATTGGTACATGTTTCAACTCGCTAAGTGATCTGGTTGCCGAGATATGGACCAAAAACTGCATTTTTTTTTTAGGCTTTTTGGCTTTTCCGGGAAATCCATGAAAGAAACCCGGAATTTGTTTGGCCTATGTTCATCCTGGTAACTTGCTTAACATATTTGCTTTGGAACTAGTCCTCTATATTGCTTCGTTGAGGAGGAGATACGACTTAAAGCTGCGGACACACATCCATCCATCCATCCATCCATCCATCCATCCATCCATTCCCAGAAAAGACGAGTTAATAAACGCAATTCTCCAGAATGGAAATTGCGCTAAAAACTCAACTTTTTTACGGTAACATTTGAAATTAAGAATAATTAAGATTATGTATTTACTCTTACAATCTTACTTATTACCAAATGGGAAATATTGAATTGATAGTAATAATAATTTAAAACACAAAGACAAACACATATATTTTAAGAAAGCATCAAAGTAAGAAGCACAACAAACAGGGTTTCAACCAATAGGTCCTCATCAGCTTACACAACAAAATCCTCCTTCAAAATGTACAATGTAACCCGGATTGATCTCTGATCGTAGTGCGTCTCTAGAATTAATCAAGGGCGATAAGTCTGAGCCGATATTTGTATTAGCACTTTGTCGGTCCCTCAGCATATTTGTTTATATATATTAAAAAAAACTATATTGACGACAAAATAGGGGAGCAAAGTCACGGGCGAAGGACGGGAGACAACAAATCGCTCTTCCAAAACCCAGACACGGCTATTTATCTCCCTTAGATTTTCATCTACGTCATGAATCTAAAGATAAAGAAAAAAAATTACGACGATTTGTTTTTTTTATTCACTTGGGAAAATTCTTGCGATTTTCGTTTTAAACAGTAGAAGCTAGCGTTCTTTAAACATATTAGACCCCTGGAACGAGGTTCTCAGTAACAATATTTTACGTAGAACTAAGCGATTCGTTCTTTTCAGGAGATTGTTTAAATGGAGACAAACGGAAATCATCGCGTCAACAGCCGTCCATGAATTCTGTCCCTTTTCTCCCCATGATATCCGTCAACCTTTCTTTAGCTAAATATCCCATTCTGATCATTTTCTTCCCATGATTTCCTCTAATCTTTCTTTAGCTAAGTATCCAATGGTATGAATTCTGTCCCTTTTCACTCAATGATTTCCTCTAATCTTTCTGTAGCTAAATATCCCACGCTATAAATTCTTTCCCCCTTTCTTCCCCATGGTTTCTTTAAATCTTTCTTTAGTTAAATATCCCACACTAGCTAGATCTATCTTTCTTTAGTTAAATATCCCACACTAGCTAGATCTGCAATTGCCTGGTTTCCGGTTCTCTGATTGGTTCCCCCAGGGAGTTCAAGGTCAACAGGGGTGTTTGGATTAGAAAAAAGATTATACATATAAGCCGTAGATTTAAAAGAAAGGGGGTGGGGGGGAGGTGATATGCTTGGGTGTATAAATATTCCAAAGGAAAGAGATATTGTAAAATTATGTGGATAGAATTCGTTGAGTCGAGATATTTTTAAATTATGTGTGTGGATAGAACTTGGTGAGTGGAGATATTTGAAAATCATGTGTGTGGATAGCATTTGGTGAGACGAAAAATTTGAAAATCATGTGTGTAGATTGCATTTGGTGAGTCGAGATATTTGAAAATCATGTGTGGATAGAACTTGGTGAGTCATATTAAAAGACTGATTAAGGTCCCGAGATGTCTCAATGTAGAACCTTACCTAAATTGTTACCTAATTGTTATACATGTGTGTCTGCTAACGAAGACCTTAGGTCGAAACTACGACTGTACACGCAATGGGATACTAACAGTACCTGCTTTAATTTCAACTTTTCACAAGTAAATAAAACATATTTCCACACCCCCATCGCATATATAGTGCACTCACTTTCTCGTATGTATAAGAACACCAATGAGGTTTATTTTTAACGAGTAGCATAATTGTTAGCTTGTGGATTAAAAGTAAATTTCCGTCTATGCAGCGAGTGGTTACTATGGAGAGAACGCATACTGCGTATTGTGATCGTGGCCTTGAGATTACTGGAAGGATTTCTTCTTCTTTCTTAATTTTAGTGTTGGGAGGGATTCCCTCCAACACAATTTCAGCCTGCTTTTCTTTTCGGATTTACTTCCATAGCCTTTGTCCAACCAAGAACACACTACAACTACAAGGCAGCAGTTGTTTGATTTAGGAGTTGTCTCTCCTAGAAGAGTGGCTATCCCCAGCTAACGAGCCTCATCTGTCTCAACCATGAGCTTTACCGACTCGACCACGCCGACCCCCTAGGAGGATATGAGACGCTGGTTTTCACTTGTGACTGTACTTCCAGAGTAAATAAAACAAATATAAAAATAATAAAATTGTTAAATTTAAATGCAATTTATTAAAAAAAAACTTTGTACGATTAGTTAAAGCATTTGTTGCTTATGAAAGGGACAGGTCTTACGCCAGAACAATTAACACACATCTGATAAATTTGAACTGGAAGTATTACAGATTCGGGATTTAAATAAAACAATTTTTTCTGTCCAAGCGAAACAAATATTTGAATTGCAGAACATGAAAATGCTTTCATATTAAAAAATCTACGTAATTCCTGTGTTTTTTAAAATGAATTTATTCAAATCGATTCATAGGCTTTTTTTAAACTAAGGGTTTACATTTTCTTTTATTCTGTTGTCACATAAAAGTTTGAAGATTTAAAAAAAAAATTGCGGGGCATTAACTTGTTTGTTTATTTTTTATTTTTGTTAGTTCGTTTCGAAATTTATTTTAAAAATATTTAAATGTGAATTATTTATTTTTTTCTAAATAAGATGTGCAACAAGCAGTTTTTTTTAATTTGCTCCTGTTATTTAAAGTACAATTTTACTTTAAGCCGCGTAATTTTTTTAAAGCGCTATTTTTTAAACTTTCAATGTGAACAGGCTTAATAAATGTTGCTGTGAATTATGTCACTGCAGTTTGATCTACTTGAAGATTGTTTGAATATGTGTCTGGTTTGGAAGGTTCTAGGTTGTTGACCTTACGGATTGCATCGGTACTTCATTATTTATTCGAACACATTTCTAGGTGTGTGTGTGTGAGGGGGGGGGGGAGTGAGGGGGGGAGTGGTGGGGGGGGGGGGGGGGGGAGAGTGGTGGGGGGGGGAGAGTGGTTAGCCCATGGGCTTTAAGGGAGGCTGGGTCAGGAGAGTCGACTTAGAACTAAATAAAAATGATGGTTCATGTCGAGCCAATTATATTTTTTTTAATCAGATAATTATTAATTAATTGTTTTGTTTAACTTAAACAGTCAGTGAAACTCTACTTCAGCTTCACATTGGAGCTAGATTCACGCATATAAACACTATGAACACCCGACAATGAACGGCCGCAAATCGCATTTTCTTTATAGCGACCCCGTACTTGCATGACTCAACTGCCCGATCCTGCTCACTTTTCCCATCACCACTAAGCCAACTTCACATTATGCAACAAACTGCCCACCACAACTACGCCAACTTTCCACCCTGCAACAAATCGCCCATCCCAACTAAGCAAACTTCACATTCTGCAACAAATCGCCCATCACCACTAAGAAAACTTCACATTCTGCAACAAATCGCCCATCACCACTAAGCAAACTTCACATCTCTATCCTATAATATATCGACACAGGGGACTACAAATACCATCTGGGAGTTATATCCCCTTTTATCCCCAAGATCGGTGATGTCCCTTTGAACCGTCCTGTACCATTTATCTCCCTGCTGTAAAAGCGATCGACCCGACATATTGATTGCGCTTCTTAGATGGCACTGAAAAACGTACACTTAAGAACTGAAGCGCTTATAATTCCAATTAATTTTGTTTACATGAGATTAACTATCAGCGCGGTTTAAAATTGTAAATACCTTTCATCATTTATTTCTCCTTTACAATTCAATGCTTTGGTGTTATTTTAGATTAAAGTTTTTAAAAGTTTATATCAAAATCAAGAGAAGGCAGGTACTAACTATGTGTATACTGTTAATTAAAGCTACATCATGATGTATTCAATATGGACTGCTACCTATACATTTTCACCCGCTACATCAAAAAAAAATGAGTCACTTTAACTGCAAACTAAGCAGAGAATTATTATTGGACAAAACGGCCCTTAGGCAGTTGCCCGATTAGCTCATTAGTTAACCCGCACTGCTAGAAACTTGGAATACCAATATTGCAATACAGAAAAAAAATATAAATTACAAATATTGCAATGAAAAAAAATATGAAAATTTCAAATATTGCAATGAAAAAAAATGAAAATTACAAATATTGCAATGAAAAAAAATATGAAAATTTCAAATATTGCAATGAAAAAAAAATATGAAAATTACAAATATAGCAATGAAAAAAAAAAGTTAATGACAAATACAAGATATCAATTTCCCGGGAAGACGGAATAAAATGGCGTCAAACCCTAATGACTCCTGTCTAAAATTGTAGAAATTGCGTAAAATTTTTTTTCTCTGTCCGGTATTTTACGGGTTTTAGAATAATTAGACGCAAATT